GCAAGATGTGTCCTAAGGTATCAGAAAAGCTTAAGAAAAATTATTTTGGGGGTCTGGGAATGCGCAAAAATTTTCCCTCTAAACGAGTGGTAATTGCTTCTTTGCTTTGTGCCACTGAGGCTCATGAAAGGTTTTGTAGGAATGCTCTGCTTTCAGATAGCTGGGGAAACCTGAAGTTTCATTAACCATTTCTGCAATGGCCCTAACCTCATCTAAGCACCGGCATGGAAGAAGACATAGGAAGGGAATAATTGACTGAACTTAAGAAAGTTTTCTTTCTTCTTTTACCTTTCAAAAGGTCTTGGGTAGGGAGGGCCCATGTTGGAACTGAGCCATCATGCCCTTGATCTCATAATTATTGACCTAGGCTTTAGGCAAGATAGCCCTTGAGGTGTATGTGAGGGGAGTTGCTTGGTCGGTGAGTTAGTGAGGGTGTCAGGGCACTGCATGGCTGGTCCAAGCACTGAGTCCATGATGTTCAAATGACTGAAGCATTTCGAGCAAGCAAAAAATGAGCACATCTGTTCATTGGATCAGTGGAAGGAGCCTACTGAGTTCTGAAACACCATGGCCGATGGGTCTGGTGAATTATTTAGCATTCCAAAAAGCTGGGGTGTTCTCCATGTAGGCTAGTTGGAAAGTTAAAAGTGCCAAGAAATACATGGTACTGTATTTATATTACCTGGAGTTGAAGAACTGTGTAACTCAGTTTCCACTGCTTACGGCAACAGCTGAAGTCTGAAACCAGTAGTCAAGAGAAATCCCTAAGGATGAAGGTCAAACTTGGATTCCACACATCTTAACAAGTGAAGCCATCACTGCTTTCTGACCAATGGGTCTACACCTATAAACGTACCCTCAAACACAAGATTAAAACCTTAAAGTAGGTAAATAATCATATGTTGGGATTGAATGCAGAGTCCTAGTAGAAGGGTCTACCTGAGTACAGCAGTGGGAACATGGAGGCCAAAGAGAATGAAGCCAATCTATTGCCTTCCTGAGTGCCAGGCAAGGAAAGAGTCCCTGACAAGTCACCATAGTCCCTATACAGTCCTAAAGTTTTGAGAAGAAAGGAGGACCCTCCAAGTAGGCCCTTAAGATTTTTAGCTGTGGTGTCTGAGAATAAGCAGGCGCAGTTTCCAGTGCTGGCGATGGTCATCTGGGGTTATAAGGTGATGTGCCCTGGGGTCTGTCTGCTCCCTGAGAGATGTCCCCCAGACAGGCCCAGTTCAGTGTACATTCAAGCTGAGGTGGTCAAATAAATCTGCCATATCTGCCTGTTCCCTGAGCCTTCAAGCTTTCTCCTCACCTCGGGTTTAGATAGCTGTCTTTTTGGTCTGAAATAGCTAAGGGCAAGGAATTAGTGTGCCTTTTCTCCCCAACCACGCCCCTTCGGCCAGAGTCCTCCTCCTCACCCTTTGCTGCCCCACCTGAGTGACTGGTGCTCCTTTGCTGGCTCCCAGGGGCCCAAGGTTACTTGCTGTGTTACTCCACCAAGACCGTGTCCTCCCCAAGAAAATCTCACAGTCACGCTGTTTTGGAGACCTGGAGAAGGTGTCCCCTTCCTAGATGATGATACATAAGCTAACTACAATAAAGCCATTTCAATTAACGGAGCAGAAGGGTACAGAATGGGAATTGACAAACTTTGTAAAGAGCCAGTAAGTAAATATTTTAGCCTTTGTAGGCCATGTGGGCTCTGTTGCAACTACTCATCTCTGCTGTCCTGATGCTAAAGCAGCCAGGGTCAGTACACAAAGGAATGAATATGGCTGTGTTCCAATTAAATGTTCTTTACGAAAAGGGACAAGTTGGATCTGTCCTGTGGGGCCTCAGTTTGCTGACCCCTGGCATAGAAGAAAGAATAGTACTCGCCCCCAGTCACAGCCCTGACCTTAACCAGCTGCATGACTTTAGGCAAGTCACTTCCTTCCTTTCTCACCTCTCACTCCTCCCAAAAGAAGCAGGGAGTAGAGAGGGTAACTTGTGAGACTGGCCATGTGCCTGACATCTTCAGTTGTCTTGCTCATCCACAGAGTTGTTGATAGCCAACAAAGCAAAGCCCACGGTAAGGGCTATCATTTTGAGCATCTGCTATGAGATAACTTACAGACTCTCCTTTCATCTTCTCAGCTCTCCAAAGTTGGTAATCCAATCCCTCTTTAATAGATGAGGAAATAGAGATCAGGGATGTTAAATAACTTGCCCAAATGGCAGAACGACTAAGTTCAAATCCAGGTCCATCCAACCACACCCAAATTTCCCATTCATCATGTGGCCTCCCGTGCAGGCTGCTGACTTTTCAATCCTTTCACTCTGACCATTTTTCAGATACTGTCTCTAATATACTATTCTCACCACAGTTGCTGGATTGATCAGATATTGTCCCTTCCCTGTGAAAATCTGCCCTGTGGCTTCCCATCACACTTTGGATAGAATAAAGCCATTCCAATTAAGTAAGCAGAATGGCATAGATCCCAAATCCTTCCCATGGCTTACGAGGCCCCTGTGGTTTCTGCTATCTCATGCCATCCCCTCTGACCTCTCTTCTCTGCTTCACTTACTCTGTTCCAGCCCCAGACACTTTGCTTTGCCTTACACATGTCAAGCAGACTCCGACATCAAGATTCTGGGGGTCTCTAGCCTGGAATCCTATATGCTCCCCAGATGAGAATGGCTCATCCCCTCACTTAATTGATACCTCAACTTAAATGTCACCTCCTCAAAGAGAGCTTTCCTGACCACTCTATCCATAAAAACACCAGCCATCACTCTATCTCCTGACATTTTTGTTTTCTTTGTAGCTCCTATCACACTAGGCAATAATCACGTTTATCTTTATTATTATTATTATTACTATTATTCTCTCTTGCTTTGTGAAGGCAAGGAGTTTATCTTGTCCATTGATAAATGGTGTCTAATCTTGTAGGCTTCCAATGACTACCCGTTAATTGTTGAGTAAATGAGAGAACATATGGGAACGAGGCAACAGAGTGTGACTGACTCAGGACTAGTCGATCATTATCTGAAGGTAGTAATTCAAGCCTATCAGCAGTGTGACACCTTGTCCCCTAGTCCCCACGTGGGAAGGATGGCCTGCTTGCCTTTACCAGAAAAAAATCAGGGTGTTACTTCATCTCATCCTTAGAAAGTATCTAATACAGGAGAGGTGCCACAAAACTGGGAAAGATTAGTCTCATGACTGAATGTCAGAGGTCATCTAAGGTCCAGAGTTTTCCAGCTGCCAACCTCTGACCCCCTGTTGCTCCATCTCCTCCACTGACTGCACCATCCTTTTCTGCAGGGGCCTTTCCTGACCAAACTGCCCCCTCTGCAAAATCCTCTTCTCCTCAGGCTTGAGGGCAGCATGAAAACTTCAGGTAAGTACTTTTGTTGGAAAAACAGTATTCTTATCCAAACACTGTCACTTGATGGTGAAACCAAGAGTTAAAGAACTGAAATAGCTTGGCCAAAGTCCTGCTGCTTATTAATGTCACATATGAGGCTATAGCCTATGTTGTTCCCTGATCACGAGACTGGCCCTAGCTCCACACTCCACACAAAATGGTAGAAGTAAACATCCAACAACATCCCAGGTTGCTCATTCAAGAATCCATTCAATTCTACAAACATTGATTGAGCATCCAAAATGCGGCTGGCCCTATAATTGTTACAGTCTGGGGTGCAACAATGGAAACAGTAGAGTCCCTGTCCCCAAAGAGTTTACTGGAAATTTGAACATAGAATGAAAGAAATAAGATTTTTTTTTGGTATTGAAATGTTGATTAATAGGTGAATGCAGTAATCAATTTATTCTCAAAGAGGTCTTTAAAGCACCTCCCACAGCTTTCTCAAACAGTTATGCTTAGGCCTCACTCTGCATATGATTTTTAAAAAGAGAGCAAGAGAGAGGGAGGGAGATAGGGAGGGAGGAGGGGGAGGGAGAGAGAGAAATAGAAAGAAAAGAAGGAAGGTAGGGTGAGAGGGAGGAAGGAAGGAATGGAGGAAAGGAGGGAGAGAAAAGGAAAGGAAAGTTGAAGGGTACTCTGCCTGCTTCCTTCAATCCCCCACTTGTGTATCTCTGCATCTCTCAAAGATCTTAAACTGGGCGGGGGGGGGGGGGGGGCGGTCACTCTCCAGAAGTCCTTTCAGCATGGTCCTCACCTACTCTGAAGTCCTGGGGTGTCATGGAAGAGCTGAATTATTTCTCCCACTCAGTGTCTCCTATGCAGCCCTCAGCCCAGACTTCAATGATAAACTTCTGCATTATCGAAGCAACTTTTGATACGAGAATGAAGAAACTTCTGATTAATACTAACCCAGTCAATAACAGACATTCCCTCCATCAATCGATGGCACATTAGAGTTCTTCTGGAACAACCTGGGTCAGAGACAAGGATTCAAATACCCACACAAGCTGCAAGATTAGTAGAGGGACTTACATCCATCAGTCCCAACTGTGCCAAGCCCTGGCTCAGCCGTTCAGAGATGATCTCCTATGAGAAAAGTTCACCCTTGACTTTAGAATAAATCTTTCTTCTTCATCACCTTGACAATGAAGTCCAAAAAGAGTAAAAGGGTGAGAGAGTGAGCAAGAGTGAGCCGCAAGTGCACTGGCAGAAATAATGAGCAAGAGTTGATATTAACACAGAAACACGCCATTCCTGATTGCCTTGTATTTATAGAAGTAAAAAAGCCAAGGATAAAAGAGAAACCAGAAAACAAGGTACATACGTGCCTCTAGAAGCTTCTCTCCTTCCATCCTTCCCCATTCTCCCACCTCCCCAAAGCTAAAGATACATTTTATTATGGCCCCAAACTACTTGGGATCAAGACTTGCCAGCGTAGAAACGAAACCAGCTTTCCCTCCGTCTGACCCAGGATGCTCACCCGCTCGCCGAGTTCACTCACCCACTCTCCCCACATTTTCCTGCCTGTTGCATGCAAAGCAATTGTCTCCAAACGCCAATTACTGATATTCAAAACTGCTGTTTTCCTACCCTGGTTAGAGACGCCTCCATGAGAGACCCGGGGTGAGCTCTTGAGTTGAAAGAGAACCTGGGGGGTGGAGGGAAACCCCTTCTCGAACCTCCACACGGTTCCCGTTGCCAAGGGAACCCTCTTTGTCCGGTGAGGCTAAGAATGGCCGCCTCTCCCACGGCCTGGCTCCAGGAGTGGCCAAATCGCTGCACAGGGTCAAGAGCAGAGGGAGGGGAAGCCTCGCACATGCTTCTCACAAAGAAATCACTTTCAAAGAATGAAAGAAATGGTGAAAACAGTTTTAGGAGGCACCCGGTGGGGAGGGAACAAGTTTATCTATGGTGCTGAGATCACATTTGAGTTGGCTTTTGCGCCCCTAAAAGGAGAAGGATTCAAATCTGTATCACAGACGAGACAGGGTGGGTAGGACAGAGAGGGAATCTGGGACGGGAAGGTTGCAAAGGGTATGTCCCAGCCTCCTTCAGCAGATGTGTAACACTGATCAGATACACAATTAATTCATTAAAATGTTTAGTTGAAGCTTTGGGCTGGATTATTTTGGCTCCTGGATCGGTCAGAGGAGCTGTCTGCCTGCTTCCTAGAAGCCTGGTGGGGCCCGACCTGGAGATGGTAGTGTCATTTTGATGGTGAAGCACATTCTCACTGCATTTTAGGGACTGGGACCGGGGTTGGCTTTCCTTTTCAGAATAAATTCTCTTAGGGAAGATGCCCCGGGAAGGAACATTTTGTACATGCTTGTTTTGAAACCCATTTGTCAGGGGTAGACCAGATTGAATGGCAGTTTGGAAAGTCTGAATGGACCTCAGTTAGAAGTCCCAGTGCCTGGCACAGGGCAGGTGCTCACTAAAACGTCAGCTGTCTGAATGGTTGTTGAAGGACGACTTTCCAGCATCTTGTCTTTCTAGCAAGGTAGGAGGATGAATACTTACTTACCAAATGGAGCGGCCAAGGCTCGAGGATGTAGCTTACCTGAGGACCCATGACTGAATGGTAGTAGAGGAAAGACTCAAGCCCAGGGCCCATTACCTCTGACCATGATGTCTAACTGCTTTTTTTAAAATCGAGAACTTGGAGGAATTCTCTATCCAAATGTTGCTGAACAATTTTAAACAAAAAAGGCAAATAAATAAAGAAAAACAGAAATTGGACACCTCTGCATCTGGTCTGGGCTAAACATGGGGTGAAGTTATTCACACTGAATTACAGGGAAGTACCAAGAAAAATTTACACAGGCACATGCACACACACACACAAACACATGCACATACATATGCATATACATATTTCCGTGCAAGATGGTGAGAGTCTTATATTACTCAACTCCTAAGTCTCAGATCTGGTAACAGTTGCTCGGGGAACTTTGCATCACTATCCCCAAGCTCAGCTTCCATAGCACTTTTAAAGATTCTCCTCATAATACTTACCACACTGACATAGTCATTGGTACCTGCATATATGATCATAGGGACTTCCCCTACCAGAATATCATCTCTCTGAGGGAAAGCACCACTCTCCATTCCTTCTTCTTCTCCTTTTTTTTGGGGGGGTCTCTTAAATACCTAGTAATATGTCTATTGCATAGCAGGTGCATGATACATACACTCAAGAACTGAAGAGCAAGGAGTCCATTTGTGAATGTTTTATTGAGTGTCAACTACATTAGGCCCCAGGGAGGGCTCAAAAGATGTTGACAGTATAGTATCTCCCTGTGAAATTTAAGATTTATGTAAAATGAAGGACTTGGTCCTTAAATATTACTTAAGCCAATTGCAGTAAGTGTAGCTAAGAGTACTAGAAGTAATGCATTTATTTAATGGATGAAAACCAGCTTTCTCAGTGGTTTTGTCTGTCACACTGTGGCTATAAAATCCCAGGAGCTCCTGAGCTGCAAACAGGCCCAGTCAGGCTTGCAGGGTCTGTGCTTATTTCTTCTTGTCAATGCCCTTGGCTTTTTCAGCCTGCCTGCTCCAGAGAAAGGGTAAGGCACATAACCTAGTGGTAGAAGGCTTGGAGATAGCTCCATCTCTGGTACTATTTCTCTTTCACAAAAAGATTAATCTAAATCTATCAAAACCTACTACCAAAATACACAAATTCCAACTGGTGCATAACCACAAGAAAACAGCATTCTGGATCTTCTTATCGGTTGGGATATCTGGGCCCATGTTTCCCTTTCATCCTCTCTAGGGGATGCTGACACAGGCTGTACTTTGCACGGCTCACAGCACTAACTTGTCAACCAGGGGAAGATTCCAGCCAAAAGTATCAGGGTCCTGTCCTCACTGCACCTTCATGATGGAAACAGCAGGTGGAAACTGCTAGGTGCCAGAGTCTCTGCCAAAAAGACTAATGCTTTCAGGTCATCTGATGGACACAGATGAAGACGAGGCCCAGAGTTACATACCAAGTGACCAGAGGTTGGACTGGACTCCGTGCCTGGAAATGCCCCCTCACATCTTCCCAAGTGGCCTCTGACCTCAGGTCCCCTCCCCTTCAGTGGTGTGCCTCCCACTCTGACCCTCCTATCGGGTCATGTCACTCTTCAGAGTAAGATGCTGCCATGTCTGTCCACTGCCCTCAGACCAAGTCCAGTATCTCAGGCTTTCTGTCATCTGCTCTTCCCAGCTCTGTCTCAGAGACTCTACTCCCTCACCCAGTGTCTCACGTCTTCTCTGAAATACTCAGGTCACCTCATTTCACCACATTCTTCCTCTTGCATTTTACTCTGCTGGGAATGTAATGCAAGCAAAGGCAATGTCACAGATGGCACCCCAAGTCAACTTGCCAGACCTCTGGATGCCAGGGAGCTGTGAGTTAGGTGCTGGGGAAGGAGGGTTTTGGAAAGATGCTTATTTGGAATTATGCTATGCTTCACGGGGAGGAAGGAGTAGTATCTTATACTTAGCATTCATCATGAGGGGCTGTGCATTTTGAGGAGAGAGTGGACAAAGAAGAGGGAGGAGGAGGAGAAGGAAGGGGGAAGGAATTAGAATTCAGGAATACTTACCATTCAAGTGCATTCATACTTTCTGGTCACCCACTAACTTCTGTTTGAACTAATACCATTATCATACATTACAGTCTCAAAGTTAAATGCCTACAGAGGCCAAATAAGTGAGGTAAATGAGGGCAGTAGGCCTTGTGTCAGGTAACAGGGAGTGGTGGAGACTGTGGTAAAACAGAGACCAAATGCTATATGTAAAGGGAACAATAGTAACTCCAGCCACTTCCCGACATGTAGGATTGCAGCCCAGGATTGTCAGAGTTTTTCACTTTTAAAGGAAAGCTGAAAATGTGAAAATGTATGAAATTTCCCAATTTAAAAATGTTGATTCAAAATGTTAACAAACACTGTGTAGGACAAACAAAATATATCTAGTTCATGCGCTGCCATTTTGTGACTTTTGCCCTACATGGAACTTTCCAGAGTGTGAGCATAGGCATCGGTAGGCAGGGGTGTATGGTTGTCAATAATCCAGATCACAAAACGTTATGTGAGAACATCCAGGAGGTAACAAGGTAGAGACATAAGTGATCTCAACATGTTACTTTATGAAGTAGAGGGTGCTCACATGATCGGATATAAAAGAACGGTTAAAAAAATCATGGAAAACCTACCTCTTTCTCAGGAGTTGTGGCTTTGTTTGAAGTGGTGATGGGACTGGTCAGTGCTCCCCTCCAACTCTGAGAGCTGGACAGCTCCAGAGGCGATCCTCTCTAATCCTTCCATGGCAGAGGAAGGCTGGGCTTGCGGACTGGTGGGTAAAGGGTAGGGGTGTGTGTGTGTGTGTCACTGTGGCAAACAGAATGCCATGCCAGGTGTAGACATGTGCATGACTCATTGCAGGTCTTTTTTGGGTCACTGGCCTCAAGCATCCTTTTTTCCAGCTCTTAGCCAGCATAAACTCAAGGCATCACATCTGGGGAGGGGCTGGCAACGGGAAGACCCCCTTCTTCAGGGAAGACCTTTCCTCACCCGTGAACACCTGTAGAGGCACTGGCATGATGGCCTGTGGCCCAGCCGTTCACAATGGCTGCCCTGCTTCTCGCTCTCTCTGCTTAACCCTGAGGAGAAAACCACCCCTGACCTTCGAATCCCTTTACATCACCACCAGTCTCCTATCTCAGGGCTACAATTACGTGCCCCTCCTTCTCAAGAATTGGCCTTCTGTATCCCTTTTAGCTCTTCTCTTCCCTTTGGTTATGATTCAAATCTCACCAATCATTTTTCTACAAAGGATACCATTTCCTCTTTCTATAGCCACCAACCTTATCCAGGTGCTCGACATTCCAAATTCCGGTTGCTATTTGTGGCCTCTGAGGAAGGTTTTCCTTGCCTCCAGACTCTCCCCACCTGCCCTAAGCACCATTTCCATCATGTCATCCCCTTCCCTATTATTTATTATCTTAAATTAAAATACACAAACATGACCTTAAAAGATGTTCCCTCCACTGCCTCTGTGTAGAGCCTATCCAATTACCTTCAGGCAATGGAAAGAGCATGAATTTTGGAATCACACAGACCCAAGTTCACATCCTGGCTTTGCCATTTACTCCCTGTGGGACCCGAACAAATTATGTAAACTCTCCTGCCTTCAGTTTCCTCATCTTAAAATTGGGATAAATAATACCTACCTTGCACCATTGTTGCAAGAATTATATAAGCTAATGTAGGCTATTTCCTTGCATGTGTACTCAAAAATGGTAGCGGCCATTAGTACTATTCTCTACGAATATAGTATTAGAGGGGGGAAAGTAGGAGGGTGTTTGCACCTGTCAGCGAGATGACAGATATGTCAAAAGAATCTGAATCAAATAAATAAGTTATGGAAATGCACACAGCCCTATGTGTTCTGTCTGCTACAGTGCAGAAGACAATTAAAAAAAATTACCAAGAGAGAAAATGGAAAGATAGTGCCACTTAGTCCCAACAATTTTGTGCCCTGAACATCTTAGCTATGTCCCCTATGTTCTCCAACACAAACGTGTGGCTTCAATCCACGAAAGCCCCTGCAAGTCCCCTGGAAACAAATGGATCGTGCCCAACC